GGTTCCCGACCGAAGCCAGACAGTCCCGCTTCTCCTGTTTGAGTCTGGGCCCCTAGAGACTCGCCTGGATCTGGAGCTCAGAGTCTGAAGCTCCCTCCCGATTGTAAAGAACAACCGCGCCCTCCGCGCCGCCAGCCCGCTCCGCGCGCACTCCGCACCTCAGTATTTCACGTCAGCACTGCGCCTCCTATGAGTCTGGGTATGATATTCTCTTTCCTCCTAGTTGTAGAATTTCCACTCAGCCAGCCTTCCTGTGGTTCTGGATGATGTCCGTTCCGTCTTTTAGGTGTATTTTGATTTGGTTGTTCAAGGCAACAATCTCTGGCGTTAACCTATGCCGCCATCTTGGTTTTTTTCTCCAGGCTTTTTGGTGTGTTTTTTTTTATGGTTTTTTTCGCTGTGCAAAAACATTTTAGCTTGATGTAGTCTCATTTGTTCATTTTTCTTTTGTTTTCCTTGCCCAAGGAGACACAGCAAAAAAAAAAATAAAAATGGTTAAGAGTGATGTCATAGAGTTTACTCTTCATATTTTCTTCTATGAGTTTTATGGTTTCAGAGCTTGCATTTAATTTTTAACTTTTTTGTGTTTATTTTATTATATGGTGTAAGAAAGTGTCGTCGTCATCGTCCTCTCCTCCTTCTCTTCCTCCTCCTCCTCCTCCTCTTCTCCTCCTCTGCATTTATCTGTCTAGTTTTCCCAACACCATTTATTGAAGAGACTGTTTTTACCTCATTCTTGCCTCCTTTGTCATAGGTTAATTGACAATATAGGCGTGGGTTTACTTCCGGGCTCTCTATTCTGTTTCATTGATCTATATGTCTGTTTTTATGCTAATACCATGCTGTTTTGATTACTGTAGCCTTGTAATAAAGTTTGATATTAGATAGCATGAAGCCTCCAAATTTCTTATTCTTTCTTAAGATTGCTGTGGGTATTTGGGGTCTTTTGTGTTTCCATATAAATTTTAGGATTATTCCCCTTCTGTGAAAGATGCCATTGGCATTTTTATAGGGGTTTCATTAAATCTGTAGACTGCTTCGGATACTAAGGATCAGTGGTTGGCAACCAGTAGTGCATGGACGAATGGTGGTTTGTGAGGTCTGAAAGTTGGTGACCGCTGCTATGGACAGTTTAATGACATTAATTCTTCCTGTCCATGAGTATGGTATATATTTCCATTTATTATATATTGTTTTTATTTTCTTTCTTCAATGTTGTACAGTTTTATGGGTATAGATCCTTTACCTTTTTGGTTAAATTTATTCCTAGACTCTTTGATGTAATTCTAAATGAAATTGTTTTCTTAATTTCTCTTTTTGATAGTTATTGGTGTATAAAAATGCAACTGCTTATGAATATTAATTTTGCATCCTGGTACTTTACAGAATTCACTTATCAGTTCAAATAGTTTTTTTGTATGGAATCTTTAAGGTGTCTTTCTCTATATAGTGTCATTTCAGTTGCAAATAATGAGTTTACTTTTTCCTTTTCAATTTGGATGCCTTTTATTTCTTATTATTGTGGCTAGGACTTCCAATATTATGTTAAATAAAAGTAGTGAAAGTCAACATCTTTGTCTTGTTCTTGATCTTAAGGGAAAAGTTTTCACTGTTCATCCTTGAGTATGGTGTTAACCCTTGAGTATGGTGTTTGCCATCTATAGCTTGATTATGTTGAGGTATGTTTCCTCTATCCCCACTTTGCTGAGTGTTTTAATCATACATTGATTTGGGCTTTTTCCAAATGCCTTTTCTACATATATTGAAATAACAGAATTTTTATTCTTCATTTTGTTTATTTGTTAATTGTTTTGTGGCTATTGAACCAACCTTACATCCCAGGAATAAATCTTACTTGATCATTGGGAATGATCTTTTTAATGTATTGCTGAATTCAGTTTCATTGAGGATTTATGCATCTATTTCATCAGGAATATTGGCCTATCATTTTCTGTTTGTGTAGTATCTTTATCTAATTTTGATATCCATCCTCCTAAATGCTGGCCTCCTAAAATGAGCTTGGGAGACTTCCCTCCTTTTTAGTTTTTTAAAATAGTTTGAGAAGGTTAGGTATTAATTTTTCTTTGAATGTTTGATAAAATTCACTCCTGAAGCCATCTGGTCCAGGACTTTTGTTTGTTGGGAGTTTTTTGATTACTGATTCAATTTTACTAGTTTTCAGTCCCCTTCAGATTTTTTGTTTCTTCCTGGTTCAATCTTGGGAACTTGTATGTTTTTAGGAATTTTTCCATTTCTTCAAGGTTGTCCAATTTTGGGGGGCATATAATTGTAGTATTTTTTGTAATCTTTGTATTTGTGGTGTCTGTTGTCAGTTCTCTTTTATTTCTGATTTTATTTATATGAGCTCTTTTTTTCTTGATGAGCCTGGCTAAAGGTTTATTAGTTTTTTTTATGTGTCCAAAGAACCAGCTGCTCGTCTAATTGATCTTTTCTATTATTTTATAAACTATTTAATTGGTTTTCGCTTTGATCTATATTATTTTTTCCTTCTACTCACTTTGGGCTTTGTTTTTTTTGTTTTTAATATATTTTTATTGATTTCAGAGAGGAAGGGAGAAAGAGAGAGAGAGAGAGAGAGAGAGAGAGAGAGAGAGAGAAACAGAAACATCAATGATGAGAGAGAATCATTGATCAACCGCCTCCTGTACACCCCACACTGGGTTTGATGCCCTGACTGGGAATTGAACTATGAACTCCTGGTTCATAGGTTGAAGCTCAAATCACTGAGCCACACCGGGCTGGCCTAGAGGTCTTGATTGCAGCGGTAGGAATGTTTCTATCAGGAAACAACGCAAAGACTCCATTGAGCTGGAAGTTAATACTGCTACCCCGCTGGCTACTTTGGGATTCTCATTCCTCTGAATTTCTAGGCAAAGAAGGGAGATACTGTGCTAACAAAGGAAAATTGGGCTACTACTCCACAATGAGATGTGGAATAAAACAGAAAATCCCTTAGGGCATTTCCTAGTATTACCATGCCCTATAATTAAGGTCAGTGGAAAACTATAAAACCCAATCTAGGTAGCACTACTAATTGCCCTGATGCTTCAGGAATGAGGGTTTAGGTCACCTCACTAGATGAAGAACCACAATCCTTATTACTTTCTGTTGGCTGGAAGCAGATTTTGAGGCTGATGTACTTTTCATCTCCTTACTTGCCCTTAATTCATATATCTCAAAGTCTTTTAAATGCAACATGAAGCAGAAATATCTCCTCTGAACGTGCTCATCCTCATTTTATATTGCACACATTAATTATTTTTACCCTTAGAGTACTTTACTGATCTAAAATTATTTAATTAAATAGAATAGGACATAATTAGTCTTTCATGGCAATTTTTTTTAAAAGATATTTTTATTGATTTTCAGAGAGGAAAGGAGAGGGAGAGATAGAAACATCAATGATGAGAGAATCATTGACTGGCTGCCTCCTGCACACCCCCACTGGGGATCAAGCCCGCAACCTGGGCATGTGCCCTCACTGGAATCGAACCATGACCTCCTGGTTCATAGTTTGACACTCAATTGGCCCACTCCTGGCCGGCCTGGCCCCGATTCTGCCCCCAACACCCCAATTGGGGGCGGGACTGGCTGGCCAATGGCCCGCTGCCCCTCCCTCCGCCTGATGGGCCCCCATCAGGGCAGGCTGGCCTGATTCCACCCATGCACAAATTTGTGCACTGGGCCTCTAGTAAAAATATAGAAAAACATAATTAAAATTAAAAAAATAAAATGAAAAGAACATTTGAGCAATATTTAGGTGATTTGGGTGGTTGTTGCTGCTGCTGCTGCTGCTGCTGCTGCTGCTACTGCTACTACCACTACTACTACTACTTATTAAAAAATAAATTAACCTTTCTGGGCTTTAGTTTTCTTATCCTAAAAAATCAGTTGGATTATGTGATCTTTAAAGATAGAGTGCTCCAGATTTTATAAAACTTAGAAGTTCGAGATAAATTAGGCTTATTTTAAGGGTTGTAAAGTAGCATTTGATTCTTGCCCTTTAAGATACTAATAGTTTTATGTTAATTTATTTTTTTAAAGTGTTTGTATCTCATGTTCTACTTTTATGGTTAATTTTATTTTGTAACTTATCAGTACTCCCTCACGTGTTGCTAAAGGAGTTGTCGACCACACCAAAATGAGTCTACATGGTGCTAGTGGGGGACATGAGAGATCAAGAGATAGACGACGGTCAAGTGACAGATCACGAGATTCTTCTCATGAAAGAACAGAGTCTCAGCTCACTCCTTGTATTAGAAATGTTACTTCTCCAACACGACAGCACCATGTTGGTATGTAGATGAACTAAACCTTCCTAACAATTTTTAAGCATGCATTTACCTTCTTAAAACACCAAGGATAATGAATTGTGTCTAATACTTCAAAGTAAAATTAACTTGTTACTTTTATTTAGTTGCTTTTATTTTAGTTCAGCTTGGTTCTTGCTGTGAAAAAAAAAACACCTTATTAAATGAAACAAAGAATTTTTTTTAAAATATATTTTATTGATTTTTTACAGAGAGGAAGGAAGAGAGATAGAAAGTTAGAAACATCGATGAGAGAGAAACATCGATCAGCTGCCTCTTGCACACTCCCCACTGGGGATATGCCCGCAACCAAGGTACATGCCCTTGACTGGAATCGAACCTGGGACCCTTCAGTCTGCAGGCCGACGCTCTATCCACTGAGCCAAACCGGTTTCGGCGAAACAAAGAATTTTTTAAAGAATCTGGGACAGACTTATAGAAGAAATAACTTGAAAAGCCTTTGTAATTGTGATATCTAGATTTCAAATTTTTTCAAGTTGGTTTTTATCTTATGAGATATATAGCAGTGATTTATTTTAAAGTAGTTTGTATATTACTGTAATAAATTTACTATAAATGTCAATAAAATTATCAGTAATAGTCATTATTGATAGGGATTCTTGGCTAATTATCATGGATAAAAGGAATTGAAAGGTAGAATACCCATTAGAGTAATTTATTTTGATTTTTGACAGTACATTTAATAATAAAAATAGAAGATGAAAGAGAAAGTGAAATGTTTTGCTTTCTTGGCAGCTAGCTCAGGTCTTTCTCTTCCTATCCATTGCTATAAATCAGGGGTGGGGAACCTTTTGTCTGTCAGGGGCCATTTGGTTATTTATAAGATCATTCGTAGGCCATACAAAATTATCAACCTAAAAATTATGTTGCTATGAAAAAAGCCCATAGATTTATTGAACTTTGAGTCCCGCCTGCGGTTGCTTTGGCATTGCCAGACCAAATGATATAGCCCTTGGGCTGGGTGTTCCCCACCCCTGCTTATAAATGAATGCTATTACCCCAGGTAAATATGTGTGACTGTAAAACACTAGTCTGAAGCAGAGGTATGTAAGCAATGTGAACTTGCTGATTTTCATTTTCCCCTGGGAAGGGACAAATTTAATACCTTGACTTACTATATGAGGTAGTTTCTGATGGTTATAAAGTAAAATCATTTCTATTAGGGTCAAAGTATGTGTAGAAGTTGTCAATATCTAAGTAGGTCCTTAAAGTCAAACTAGTACTGATAAGTTAAAAAAAGAAAAAAGAGATTTAGTTTGTTATATGCAAAATTCAGCATTTGGGAAGATAATAGAATGATACAATTATTTTATTAACTTTAACAAATTCTGCTTTTGGGATGCTACCAGCATTGTGGAAACATGTAATAGAATGGAGGTGTCAGAGTATCTCTGGAGATACTGCACATCTAATTATATAATCAGTAAAGCTGTACAGAGTGTTCTAAGTAGCCTGAGTCATAGAGGAATTTGGCAAAAGCTGATGAAACTGAGGGGATGGAGGTACATTTTTAGGTCACCTTTAAACTGTGATCTAGCCTGTAAAGGAAACTTAATTATAAAATCTCAGTTTTAATTTTTCCTCTTCAGAATATTGGAACCTACCTATTAAAATTATAAATAGTAATTATTTGGTTCTATAAAATTTGTAGCAGTGCTTTATTCAACAAAAGTGAAAATGAAAAGAAAGCAATATATCATCAGCTATTAAAGCCACTTAATTTGGTAGACATTAAAAGTCATTTGAAAAAATAAATACTTCTTGCTATCCTTATTGAAATTTTTTTCTTCTCTCAGACCTTCCTTTTGTGAGATAAATAACTGGTTTTGAAATGCCTTTATTAACACAGCAGGATTCCAAAAGTATGAATACTTTTAGTATTTGGGAGAGTTTAAAATTGGTATTCTTACTAATCTTTTACTAACTTTCAATGCTTACTTATTTGATTTGTGATTCTGCTCCTTGGGTTTTTATATATATTGTTAAGTAGGGTAGTAACATAAAATTTATCTTAATTTTGACCTTAGTCTAGGTCAACATTAGTAAGGTCTACATCTTTTTAAAATTCTACAAAAATTAATTATTTTAGAAAGTATTTTGATGTTTTTAATCCTGGGAAATAAATTAGTATTTTGGTATTCTGTGGAAATGTTATTTTAGATAAAAAAGCAGAAATGCCGTGATTTAAAACAACTTTTCTAAGTCAATAATTTTAAAAGATATATGGATCTTGAATTTTTTAAAAGAAAATTTGCGTGACTTTGTTTAACATCTTTATTTCAGAACGAGAAAAAGATCACAGTTCCTCTCGTCCAGGCAGTCCTCGTCCTCAAAAAACATCTCCAAATGGTGGCAGTAGCAGTGCTGGGAACAGCAGCAGAAATAGTAGTCAGTCAAGTTCAGATGGTAGCTGTAAGACATCTGGGGAGATGGTGTTTGTGTATGAAAATGCAAAAGAAGGCGCACGGAATATAAGAACATCAGAACGAGTGACACTAATTGTGGATAATACTAGATTTGTTGTAGACCCATCCATTTTTACTGCACAGCCAAATACAATGTTGGGCAGGTTTGTATTATTGTAGTTGTTTGTGTTAATGAATTTTAAAGCACTTTCACATTTGTTTTTTCCATTTAAGTTTACAGTAACTCTGTTGGGATGTAGTGTTCCTATTTTACAGATGTAAGAACTGAGCTTTTTAAGGTTAAATACCTTGCTCAGGTTAATAGAGCTAGAAAGTGGTAGAGCCAGTTTTGTTTTGTTTTGTTTTTTGTTAATCCTCACCTGAGGATATTTTTCCATTGATTTTTCCCCCCTTTCCATTGACTTTTTTAGAGAGGGTAGAAGGGAGGGGGAGAGAGACAGAGAGAAACATTGATGTGAGAAAGACACATTGGTTGGCTGCCTCCCACAGGCACCCTGACCAGGACTGGGGATTGAGCTTGCAACCAAGATACTTGCCCTTGACTAGAATTGAATCCAGGACCCTTCATTCTGTAGGCCGACTCTCTATCCACTGAGCCAAACCGGCTATCAGTCTTGTTGAAAGAGAAAAAAAACCCAACAGTTTGGTTAGCTGAAAGGTCAGCATTTGTCAGTTTGATATCGACACTTAAAAAAAGGAATGTTCCCCCCTCCCCTTTTTTTTAAATTGATTTCAGAGAGGAAGGGAGAGGAGGGAGAGAGATAGAAACATCAATGATGAGAGAGAATCATTGATCGACTGCCTCCTGCACACTCCCCACTGGGGATTGAGCCCACAACCTGGGCATGTGCTGGGAATCGAACTGTGACCTCCTGGTTCATAGGTTGATGCTCAGCCACTGAGACACCCGGCTGGGCAAATAAAACCTGTTTACAAAATATAAAATGAAGGGGCATATATATGAAGTAGAAGTTTACACAGGTAAAAAAAATTTTTTTTAGGTTGCATATGAATATTTGGGATATGTGCATACTTTTTTGTGTGTGTATGTATATGTGATTTGTCAGTGTCTCAATATAGAATAAATGCCAGCATATGACACTATACATTTTGAGTAGATATATATTTACTTTTAACATTTGCATTGCATCTGCTAGTAGAGAAAGATTGGTCAGCTGCCTCCTACACGCCTCCTATTGGGGATTGAGCCCGCAACCTGGGCATGTGTCCCTGGAATCGAACCCAGGACCCTTTCATCTGCAGTCTGATGCTCTGTCCACTGAGCCAGACCAGCTAGGGCTTTTATATATTTTTTAGTAGCATGGGGGAGATTATTTGATGCTATTAGGGGGATGACTTGACACTATTAATACTTTATTTTTTACCTGCACTTTAAAGAAACAGTTGAAAAGTAGATATTTGATATTTTACCTCAGTTATTAAGCTGTTTTCTTTAAAAAAAAAAGAGATATTTCTGTGTGTGTTCATTATTGACCTGAAAAGTATAATTTTCTCCTTTTAAAAAAGTTCATGTATTAGAGAAAGTTGCATGACATTTGATTTCTGAAAGACTGTCCTTTTTACATCAGTGAAGTTTCTTTTCATATGAATTGAACAAAGCATGTCTTTGGGGATGAAAATTAATATTCATGGGAACTATTAAAAAGCAGTTGCATTCTTTTGGAAATTCAAATAAAAAAGCTTTGTTCTTTATAGGTTTATGTGTTATAACAAAAGGGGAAACCATTTACATTGGGAAAGTGTTGAGTAGAGTACTTAGATCAGCCATATCTACTTTAGTAATGGTGGTACCAGGTTCAGAGGGTCTCGTTTTTTTCATGTAGTTAAGTACAATTTAAAGGCTATCATTTATTCAGAGATTATATCCTCCTATTTTTTTCTTGTTAGAATGTCCTGTCTTTTATGAAAAGACTAGAGGCCCGGTGCACAAAAATTTGTGCACTTGGGTGGGTCCCTCAGCCCAGCCTGTGCCCTCTTGCAGTCTGGGCCCCTCGGGGGCCCCTTCCCCTGGCTGCTGGCACCAGTTTTCCTCCGGCGCCGGAACCCAGGCCTTCGCTCTTCGCCGGTGAGGGGCTTAACTCCTCGCTTGCCGCACGCGGGCCCGGGGGCATGGTGGAGGACGGCGCGCTGCGAGCAGCGAGGAGCTAAGCCCCTGGGTGCTCGCCACATGCAGGCCCCAGGGGCGTGGTGGAGGCCAGTGCAGCGGGCTTCCCTCGTTGCTCTTTGCTCGCCACGCCAGCCTTCGCTCACTGCTCCTGCCCGGGGCCAGCCGGCTTTGCTCCATTGCTTGGTGCCTACGTATGCAAATTAACCGCCATCTTTGGTTATCAATGGAAACAAGATATTTTCTGGTATTCACAACTGTTTCAACAATTCAATCAAGATCAATGCAGCTGATCCTGAATAACACCGGACTTAAAAATGCTTCTAGTTATTTATTGAAAAACATTTGCATATAAGTGGAACCAAACCTGTATTATTCGAGGGTCAGCTATTACTTTTCCTGTCTTGTACCTCAAGATCCTCCCTCCTCTTTTTTCCCAAAACGATTTGAGGAAACAGTTTTGGTTCGCCAAATACAGGTTTGGTTCCACTTAATTTGCATATCGCCCTGATTAACCAATGGGAAGCGTAGCGAAGGTACGGTCAATTACCCTTTTTGTCTTTTTTTATATAGGATAGTGATAGCAGATGGTACATAATGCCCTTATTTATGAAAACAAAACATAGGCAAAACTTTGGCAGCCCCCCAAATTTGTTCTGAAATTTTGTTATCCATGAAATGCTCAAATCTGGAAATCTGTGGACTAGATGTTTTTGGAGGAGGCTATACTTTCTGCCCTAACCGGTTTGGCTCGGTGGATAGAGCGTCGGCCTGTGGACTGAAAGGTACCAGGTTCGATTCCGGTCAAGGGCATGTGCCTTGGTTGCGGGCACATTCCCAGTGGGGGGTGTGTAGGAGGCAGCTGATCGATGTTTCTCTCTCATCAATGTTTCTAACTCTCTATCCCTTTCCCTTCCTCTCTGTAGAAATAAATCAATAAAATATGTTTAAAAATAAACTAATAAATAATAATACAAGAATAAACTCTGTTTCATATATTCACAAATGTAAACCTACTTTTACCCACCCCTGTACACTACTGTTTCCTCCCATCATAAAGAAAATACTTTAAGCCCTAACCAGTTTGGCTCAGCGGATAAAGCGTCAGCCTGTGGACTCAAGCGTCCCAGGTTTGATTCTGGTCAAGGGCATGTACCTTGGTTGCAGGCACATCCCCAGTGGGGAGTGTGCAGGAGGCAGCTGATCGATGTTTCTTTCTCATTGATGTTTCTAACTCTCTATTCCTCTCCCTTTCTCTCTGTAAAAATCAACTATATGTATTACTTTAAATATTCCTTTGTTAAATATGTTTGTCAGGATAGATTTCTGATAAAAATTCTTGAACTAATTTAATGATATAATTTAATACTTAAATTACAATTCCTTTTTAGTTTTGTGCATGAAATCAATTTTCCCTTTTGAAGAAAGTGTCCTAATGATATATTTCTTAATTATTTCCTATTATAGGATGTTCGGATCTGGCAGAGAACATAATTTTACACGTCCCAATGAGAAGGGAGAATATGAGGTGGCAGAAGGAATTGGCTCCACTGTATTTCGAGCTATTCTGGTAAATTTTTGTTGCTTATGTGTTTTGACTTAATCATATTCATATGACCCCTTCTTGGTAAGTACTTGAGTTGAAATCAGAGTTTGATTTGGATATCTTTATGGAGGTATGTAGGATATTGTTTTTTAAATAACATTTAATTTGTCTTTATTTTAGTACATAAAAATAATATTTAACTAAATGAATTTTATGACCTTTGGGAAGATAGGATAGCAGATGATTCATCTCTTGGGTCTGCATAGGCATTTCTTTCAAAAGGGTTTAATGTTAACATATATTCCTCTCTCCTTAATTCTCTTAAATAAAGTAAGTCAATTTTTTGGTGCCTAAGAATTAATGTGGCTACTTGAATTCTAATATTTTATTGCACATAAGCAGTATGGACATTTATAAACATTTAAAATTATTCCCTAAAACAGTGGTTCCCAAACTTATTTGGCCTACCGCCCCCTTTCCAGAAAAAATATTACTCAGCGCCCCCTGGAAATTAATTTTTTTTGTTTTAATAGCAATTAAACAGAAAGATACATGCCCCAAATGCACCTGTGGCCATCACCGCCCCCCTAGATCGCTGTAGCGCCCACCAGGGGGCGGTTGCGCCCACTTTGGGAATCACTGTTCCAAAATGAATTTGTTGCTGAAAGCGGTTTGGCTCAGTGGATAGAGCGTCGACCTGCCGGACTGAAAGGTTCCAGGTTCGATTCCGGTCAAGGGCATGTCCCTGGCTTGCGGGCACATCCCCAGTGGGAGATGTGCAGGAGGCGGCTGATCGATGTTTCTTTCTCATCGATGTTTCTAACTCTCTCTCTCTCTCCCTTCCTCTCTGTAAAAAATCAATAAAATATATATATATAAAAAAGTTATCTTTATAAAAAAATGAATTTGTTAGCATCTTTGTTTTAAACCTTTATTTTTATTTTGAAGTTTTAACCTTTTATTTTTGAGGAATATTTGTAATTTCTCTACTTGTAATTTCAAATCAGTGATAAAAATTTGATTATAGTGTGTGACAGTTTATGCCACAGTCTGAAAATACTGTTTCCTCAAATCGTTTTGGGAAAAAAGAGGAGGGAGGATCTTGAGGTACAAGACAGGAAAAGTAATAGCTGACCCTCGAATAATACAGGTTTGGTTCCACTTATATGCAAATGTTTTTCAATAAATAACTAGAAGCATTTTCTCCTTATAATTTTAATAATTTTCTTTAGCTTACGTTATTGTAAGACTAAAGTATATAATACACACAACATACAAAATATGCGTTGACTCTTTGTTATTGGTAAGGCTTCCAGTCAATAGTAGGCTATTGTTAATTAAGTTTTGGGGGAGTGAA